AATGCCAGGCCTCATGAAGCAGGTCCCAGACTCTTAGCTTAGCTGAATAGCCCCAACCTATTGCCTCTGGCTCCATGGAGATGGCAGGAGGCGGGCAGCAGACTTGGTGGCCTTTAATCTGACTCGGGTTGGGACCTTGGGCATGTCTGAAGGTTTTAATAGAGTAGAACTCTGCTTCCAGCAGTGGAAGCCTCCCGGCAGAGCATAAAATGAACATGTTTTGGTCCTTGGATAAATTCCATCAAAATAGTGCTCACATACACTCAATCTCTAACATGGGTACACAGCAGACCACGTCTGAAAGGATGAACCTGCTAGTAGTGAGAATAAGGACATACTAGGATTCCGATCATGGAAAACTCCTCGTGCCCCTCTAGCCTAACAGTCTCCCATGAAATGATTGCACTGGTCATAGTAGGGTCACTATCCTAATTACATGGCAGTTTGGGCATTCAAAAACATCTTGCCAGGCCCCAAACCAACAATTCAAAGCTCAGGAATTAGAGCTGGCAGGAGGCATTTCCTCACATAATTGCATCCTTCTCAATAAGCTGGACTCTGTGCAGTTAGGAGCGGAAAAGGGACGGGGGAGTGTGGGGCCTGTTTCTGAAGTTCTCACCATTCTGATGTAGCTCTACATGCTTAAGACATCTCACCTGGAGAGGGCCTTTTAACAGCAAGGGCACGTGACAGATATGGAACCAGTCCTGTAGAGAACCATGCCCTGTTCCATCAATGTGGCCAAACTGGAACTCAGATCCTCAGTTTACAGCCCCCTTTCGTCCCATGCCCCTGGCAAATCGGTGAAATTAAAGTCTCTGGCAATGACCTGGTTTGCACAAGGAGACTGTTTATCATACCAGGTAAAACTTCATCATGACAAGTTAGCAATGAGAGCACTAAAATATTATGTATTTTGGGAAGATCCCAAACAGAAAAAATACAATAGAGGAGAAACTGGTAAAATCAGAAGAAAGTCTACACTTGAGTTAATACTATGGCCACACCACAATCTCTTCTCCTTCATTCTCCTCTTAAGATTTGGAGCATGCACCTAATGTGTTTTTCAAGCCACCAAGTCCGGGACTTGAACCTCGAAGTTAGCCATGTGGAATCCAGCTGCCTTAACCACTGTACCACCTGCTGGCCCAAGTACTATATTTTAAAACAATAAATAACAAATTGAACAGTAGCACCATAAGTATATACTCCTCAGTCTATGGGAAATGTCTACCCCCATCCTCGCTCAAGGAATATTTATCAAAATATAAGACCTTATTTTCTAGTCTTGGAGCAATAAGATGTTACCAGATATGCCAATCAAAGTGACAAATGAGGGGGAGAAAAATCTTCTCAAATATTTAATCATTTGGATGGTTTTAAGCTGTCAGAAGAACTGGACAGTGACACAGTGATAAGGCAACTCTGCAAGGCTGACTCACAGGGGAAGGTTCTGCATTCCCACCCAGAGATCTCTCTTTATAAGCCAGGCATGCGTGTGCCCAGGATCCAGGGCTCTCTGAGGCTGGGGATGGACTGCAGGACTCTGACCCTGTCGGCAGTGCCCTTCTCCCTGTCTCTGTCACTCTTGCTCATGGAAGAAAATTACTAAAATTAAAAACAAATCAAAAGAACAAACAAGCAAACAAAAACAGTTGTCACATACAAAATAGTTGAGATTTTTCTAGACTGCCAACATTTCACATATACAAACACAGAAGCACAAGAGCCCAGCAGCTTCAGGGTCTGCTGAAACAGAGGGTATGCCATGGGGTGTAACAAGGGATGGGGTTGCTTTGGTTTAAGGAGGGGAAGGTTAATTTGGCAATAGATTAGAGAGGAATGCAGGAAGAACAGTCGGACGACCTAAAAATGGTTATCCAGCCACAGATAAAGAAGTACTGTGCTGGGGGTGAGCCATGGGGCAGGGAGATACTGAACCAGCCTAAGAATGGGGTCACTTGAGAGGTTGCATACAAGGAGCCTGGCTGAGTGGGGAGAAGACGTGGAGAAAGGGAGGTGCCACATCTCTCACTCGGCAGGCACAGAGGAACAGCACAGACGTCGCAGACAGGCCGAAAGGTAGAAAATATACGAGGTGACAGGGTAAATGAAGCAGTCACTAAAGAGTCACACAGACTGTTTTTAACTTTCTAAAAACCTGCAGCTTTGCAAAGCTCACTGATTCAACAAGTCTTTATTAAACATCAACCACGTACTAGTTACTATATTACACTTTGGAATCCCAAGATGTTCAAGATGCAGACATTGCTGCTCTTATGAATGAGCCAGGCTAGGGCCAGGCATATAAAACACAGTCCAAGGTGAGACTGGCTGAGGTCTACTTACTAACATGCTAGGTGTGATGGCGGGAGCCTTACTGAATTAATTTATTTACTCCACACATATTTATTGAGCACTTACAAGTGCTAGGCTGTTCTAAGTACCAGGTACATGACACTGAGTGAAACAGATAAGGGCATGGCCCTCATGGTGCTCATTCTGTTTGGAGAAAACGGACAGTATATAGGTAAGCAAATCAATGGGCAAGGTAAGTCCCAATACTGCTCTGTCCAGAGGTTAACAGGGAGACGAGATAGCATGGAAGAACAGGTAGACTTGTACTAAACATACATGGTGGTTATGGATGACCATGCGAGGACATCCCAGTCCCCTGTCCATGCCAGGTGCACCCGTGCCCATGACCCAGGCTGGTCGGGGCTGGATTGTGGCTTTGAGACCCTGTTGCAGGGGCCTGCCTCTCGTTTTCTCTGTGTACACACAGGCATGCACATTGACTCTTTTTCTCTCATGGAAGTAAATAAATAACTTAAAAAAATCTGTACGATGAAACATTTGATCAATGATAATCTGTCCACTTTTATTTGTCACTTCTGATAATATAATATTTTAGGGTGAACTGTTAGAATTTGGCAAATTAGTTCAGTTTCTTTCATTTGAATGACATTTCTGTAACATCTTATTATAATTACTAACAAGGTTAGAAAATAAGGTCTCATGCTTTGACAAATATTCATGTGAGGTGGTGCAGACACTTCCTGCAGGGTGACCTTTGAAGACCCTGTTGCAGGGACCTGCCTCTCGTTTTCTCTGTGTACACACAGGCATGCACATTGACTCTTTTTCTCTCATGGAAGTAAATAAATAACTTAAAAAAATCTGTACGATGAAACATTTGATCAATGATAATCTGTCCACTTTTATTTGTCACTTCTGATAATATAATATTTTAGGGTGAACTGTTAGAATTTGGCAAATTAGTTCAGTTTCTTTCATTTGAATGACATTTCTGTAACATCTTATTATAATTACTAACAAGGTTAGAAAATAAGGTCTCATGCTTTGACAAATATTCATGTGAGGTGGTGCAGACACTTCCTGCAGGGTGACCTGCAAGGCAAGGAGGCACCTGCCTGCAAAGAAGATGGCTGTGTTCACGTTCCAGGCTGAGGGGACAGCAATTGCAAGGGCCTGCCGTGGAGGCAAGTTCCACATGGCCAGAGTACAGAGGGGAGGTCAGTGTGACTGGAGCCAGGGCGGTTGTGCTCAAGGTGGCCGGGGCCATACCCCAGGAGGCCTGGAAGCCACTAAGGGCTCTCAAGCAGGAGTGATCCAATCTGCTTGACATTTTTACCGATCATTCTGAGAGCTACATGAAGAACGGGTGGTATGGATGGAGACAGAGAATGCGGAGAAACCAGTGAGGCATCTGGAAGAATCTGAAGTGGAGCTAGAAAGAGGATGTTTATGGGATATATTTTAGAGAGAGAGCCAAAAGAACGTGCTGATGAGGGGATAGTAGTGAGGAAAATATGAACATGAAATGACACCCAACTATCTGACTTCATCACTTGAGTGGATAGTGGTGCCATGTACTGAGGTTTATCAAGTGGAGGGAGAGGTGGAATTTAAGGGGAAAGGGACAGGGAAACTGGCAATGAGGACTTCTGCCCACAAGGAAGGAGCCAAGGAGTCAAGGAGCCATCCAGTGGGTGTTTTCTTCAAGGGTCCAGAGCCCAGGGCTGGAGGAAACATTTGACCATCATAAGCATATGAATGGTATTTACAGTATATATAAAATAAGAAAATGTATATCAGCATATATCAATATTGTCAGGATGTCAGTTCTTCCCAGCTTAATCCACAGATTCAATGCTCTCCCAACCAAAATTATAGTTGGTTATTTCTTGTGGCTATAGATAAACTGATCCTAAACTTTACTTGAAAGAGACGTAAAAGACCTAGAAAAGGCAACACAGCATCGGAAGAAAAGAACAAACCTGAAAGCCTGACAGTACCTGACTTGAAGACATATTATAAAGCTACATTAATCAAGATAATGTGATTTGGTAAAAGAAAACTATTAATACAATGGACCAATGGAGTATAACAGTCCAAAAATAGGCCCATATAAGTTTTATGTGTGTGTATGTATGTATATACATACATGTTTGTATGTACACACACACATATATAGATAGATAGATATTCTAGGATGATTATGGGATATATATTATATATTATGTATTATATATTATGTATTATGTGTGTGTGTGTGTGTGTGTGTATGAACGACAGCAAGAAAATATCAATTCCTTTATGATTTGCCTATTTGGAATTAGAAAAGATATTTCCATAAAAGTGATGTTAAGTGCTTCATAAGTGTGCTCTATATAGTTTTTGAGAAAATGTATTACATGGTAGAACCAGGATAGAAATACTTCATGCCTAGACTGGGAACGTTATGAAAACAGCAAGTTCAAACTTAGTACCTCGCACATGTATTTAGTCTCAGGTGCAATCAATTATAAGATGAACAATCAATTTGCACAGCACTAAGAATAAACAAAACCAAGAAAACTGTAAAACAATGCTTTCTTGTTCCTCACGATTATAATTATTGGAAAAGCTTTCACTATTAGATTTATCATGTATCAATCATGCACCTACATAAAAAAGAAAATAACAGCTAAGATACTCCTAACATGGGGAACCAGCAGTTAGCGTAATGGCTATGTCACTGGACTCCCACGTAGTCGACCGCGGGTCGCGTCCCAGACCCGGTGGTTTAAAACTCACGCTGGGCACGTGTGCGTGCGTGCCCAAGATCCCAAGAGGAGAATGGAGGAGAAGGGATTGCGGTGTGGCCATCCCCCCTGGGGGGTGATTTCTCGCTTTCTGTCTCTATGTCTCTCTCTGTCTGTCTGGCGAGTACACGCGTCCTACAGCGTAAACCTCTCCAAAAAAAAAAAAAAAATACTCCTAACACGTCTCACCATTCGCAGTCTGACTTTTGTGAGTCACTTTAACTCAGCCAGTGACGTCAATTTTCTTCCACGTAAAGCTCCTCTATCATCCCGGGATATACTTCTAGTTGGCCACTTCAATCTGCCAGTTTTGAGGCTGGCATGTCTTGTTCTTAGTCAGTATCAGGCAGCTTTTTAGATAAACAAGACTCACATTCACATAGTTTTGAGTAATTTCCTTTTCAGTTTGGCTGACATCTCTGTGTGCACACACACACGCATGTGACTGGGTGCGTGTGCACAATAACATCTTTGGAGAAGAGACTCTATGAATTGTTTGGTGTTAAAATGAACCTACGGCTGCAACCTTAGCCACAAGCAATTGTATGCGGTATTGTAACAGTAACTGCTTTTCGTAACCTACGCCTCTGACCCTGATGTCCTTTGCTCCTTGAACATTCAAGAAATATTTAGTTTTTAAAAGAATACTGGGTTTTTAATCAGCATTTCCTATCTAAACTTGGTTTTTCCTCAACGTAGTCCCAGATTACTGGAGAATCCGCAGCTACAGTTCCAAGTTGGCAGGAAGTTTGACGAGGCGATGCTCTAAGCCTCAACAACAGTCCTGTGCAGTTCATGAACTGGGCACTCCAGTCTCTCAGTGCTGTGAGATTCCTTTCGTGTCTTCGAAGGGATCTATCAATTTCTCCTGCTTCCAGCTGCATACTTTGTTATCTGCAAGGCAATTCGTTTGCCCTAACTCTGTAACCCAGCTTTAGCTACTTACCTTCTGTCTCAGGGCCCCCGAATCTCTTATCTATTTCTTTGGGGAAAAAAATTTTAAAAACAACAACAACAACAAAAAACCAAGCAACTAAGGTCATTCCTTCAACAAAATTCTTTACTAACACCAAATTTACATCCTATTGATTTATTTCCATGAGACTATGTTTACAAAACACTTTTGTTACAGTGTTGACTCATGACTTAATAGTTTTGAAGGCCCAGCCATGACCATGCTTCTAAGACACTGGGCTGCCCTGGCAGGAACCAACCACATGAGTGACCGGGGTTTGATTCCCAGTCAAATGGAGAGGCTAGTGTAGGGGTGTGCACTTGCAATCCTAGATAAAGGTTAGGAGCTCAAAGCTGGTCTGGGCAACATGGCAAAAGCGGGGCATGGTGGCTTGCACCTGTTAAACTGAAGGGACTTCGCATATGAATTTGGAGGAATGTAATTCAGCCTGTAACACTAGCCTTTTACAGAAAACATTCCCAAGCCCTGGGTCACACTACTGAATGAGAAGCCCTGCAGGAGACAGGCTCAACCATGCACCAGTCATTCCAGCCACCAGAACACAGTGCTGTCTAGACCCGTGAGGGAAGCCACTTCGGATGGGCCATCCACAGTTGAGTGCCTACTAAAAGCCACCAGCTCAGCCACTCCTGGCAGTAGCTTGCAGGGCAGAGAGAAGCCATCTCAGGGAGGTCTGCCCAGTGTAGACTTGTGACCAAATAGATGGCTGTGTTTATGTTTGGGCATGTCTTTCACAAAGCAACAGATAATGGAAACAGCTTCCCTCACAGAGGCCCCAGGGTAGGAGCTCCTGTGGAATAGAACAGAAAAGGAAAAGAGGCCACGTGGTCTGAGAGCAACGGGAGAGTTGGGTCAAAGGTAAAGACAAGCACATTCTGTAGCTAAGATCTAATAAGACAGTAATACATAGAGGATGAGGTGGTTCCTCACATTAATCGGGAACTCCCTTGGAATATTAAAAGTGGGATTGTATAAGAGAGGAGGCTGCTCCAATTAAAAGAACAAAGAACCTAAAACTAATTCCAGGAAACCCAGTTTCTGCCTCAAACTAGCTTTGAGAAGGTACCGACACTCTTGGATGTTCCATTTCCTCATTTATAAAACAGAGATGATACAAACTATCTCTCAGATTATTTGCAAGTATTATCCATAAAAGCATGGCATGCCTCGCATAGCACTGGGTCAACGGCAGGCATTCTATCCTGTACCTCTTTCAGTCTTTCTAAAACAGTTGTGATGTTTCCACTATATGAAAGGTTTATTAATAAGCTCAGAAGTTTTAAAAATGCATGAGAGAGCATGCATGTGCATGAAGACAGAGAGAGTGGGAGAGAAGCACCCCCAGCAGGGTCTGATCGGGTTGTGATCCACTTTCCCCAGCCCTCCAACCCATCAGGGTTGTGTACACCCAAGGTTGGCACGTTTCAGGTCAACCAGACCAGGGAGCTGAACTGTCATCGGCCATCTGGTTTCCAGCAGTGCAGTCTAGCATGCTACAAACTGTGTCACAGAAGCTGGGCCAATAATCTCAAATTTAATAAAACAAAAATGCTTAGAAAAGGTTTTAAGCCCTATCAAGTAACACTATCACAATATATTAAAATTCAGTTTGGATTTTTGTGGGATACATAGCCACTTTATAAAATTAAGTATACTTTTTGTTTTTATGTTTCTGCTATTTAAGTTTTTCATCAACTTTAGTTACTTCTTCCAGTTATCCATCTTCACAAAGGGAGGCAAGCATGGGACTTTAAAAAGGAAAATGCTGGAGGAATTCCGTTCTTTCTGTTACCCATATCTATTCAGCAGGCATCTCCATTGTGTGTCCTCCTTATCTGCAGCAGGACCTAGCACTAACCTGGTATACAAGAGGTGCTAAATATTTACTGGGGACCAACAGAGGCATAATGGTTATGTTGCTGGACTCCCATGTAGTCGACCATGGTTCAAATCTTGGATCTGGTGGCTTAAAACTCATGCTAGATACGTGTGCATGCATGCCCAAAATCCTGAGAAGAGAATGGAGGAGAAGGGATTGTGGCATGGCCATTCCCCTGGAGGGTGATTTCTTGCTTTCTCTCTGGTCAGTGCACGTGCCCTATAGCCAAAAATCTCTCTAAATAAAAAAGAAAAGAGAGAAAGCCCAAATTTCCAGATAGAATTAAGGAGAAATTCCCTTTAATGTGTTTTGGATCTGTGACTCAGTGGAAGCCGTGATTTATTTTGGAAACACGACCCTGAGTGGATAAGTCCAATAAACATCCCTACCCTAACTCGTAATTCCTGTTTGAAGGCCAGGAGCATGGGTAGTTCTCCATGTGTGGTTCTCAGACTGACAGCACCAGCATCACTGGGACTTTTTAGAAATGCAAATTCTGTGCTCCATTCCGACCTACTCAGCAGATGATGTTTAACAAGCCCTGCGGGGGACTCCAATACATATTAAATTTAAGAACTAGTAGCCTAGGTAAAGAATTTAAAAGAAATAAAAGGGCTTACTTCTTTCATTCCATGAGAGAGACTGACAGACTGAGGCAGACACTCTGGATGGAGTTTTCACACCATGCCCACCCCAGCCAGGCCGGATCAGAGATGCCTGGACATGAACCTAGACTCTTTTTTCCCATGTGGGTATAGTATATCATTGTGCCACCATGTGGCTCGGTCAACTGCAACATGCCAGGAACAGATGTCCAATATTCTGATGAGCTGGCGGGCTGGGGAAAAGGGATCACATTATGATCAGACCCTGCTGGGGACCAGGCTTCTCTCTCTCTCCTCCCCATCCCCATGCATGCACATGCTCTACCACAAAATTTTCAATCGGGGTTATTAATAAAACTTTTGGGTCACCATGTGGCTCGGTCAACTGCAACATGCCAGGAACAGATGTCCAATATTCTGATGAGCTGGCGGGCTGGGGAAAAGGGATCACATTATGATCAGACCCTGCTGGGGACCAGGCTTCTCTCTCTCTCCTCCCCATCCCCATGCATGCACATGCTCTACCACAAAATTTTCAATCGGGGTTATTAATAAAACTTTTGGGTAGGCAATACTTCTATTTTAGTACGACTGAATAGGTGCCTGCCACTTGCCCAGTGCTATGCAAGGCACATCAGACTTTTATGGCTAATACTTACAAATTGTTAGGGAGGCAGATTGTATCATCTCTGCTTCATGGATGAGGAAACAGAGCGTCTAAGAGTCTCAGGACCTGCCAAAGTTAGTTTGAGGCAGAAACTGGATGTTATCAGTTGCCTTTGACAAACAAATGTCCATTCTCTCAGTTTCACAACTTAGCTCATTCACCCTGTGAATCACTGGCTAATTAGTCCAATGGTTTTTACTTCCAAGCATTAAAAAAAAAAAAAAAAAAAAAAAAGTCCTGTATTTTTTCTATTCCTTCTTCCTTTCCCCACCATTATAAAAAGCAAATAAAATCAAGCACTTTGCAATCACACCACATACATGAACGGCCCTAGGTAAATGGAATCTGTGGGACTTATTTGAATGCTACTTATTATGAAAGAACGGATCACTGAAAAGTCAACCTCAAATCTTCTAGACATACAACTTAATGATTTGGGTGGATAATCTGACATAGAGACAGTCACGGGAGCTGTGGATTTAGGAAATACAATACATTCTGACCCATCAAGCAGGTGTCCACACCCCTGGGAACTTTACTGACTACAGCCCCTGATGAGGCACATGTGGACACACCTGAGCCTCCCCATCCGACTAGCTGGACTGACTGGGACCCAATGAAGGACAACCAAACCTTGTTGTGACAATCTACTAAAACTTTTGTGGTCTGGCTCAAAAATTACAGCTGGGTCGGGCAGATGATCTCTTTTAAGTGCTAAACAAAGAAACCCAGGAAGGTTTTGCCAACTAGCTGTGGAAACCAAATGAGAAAAGCATTGAATTCTTAGGGAGCACTGTGAACAGCTATGATGGGCGACTGCCAAGCTTCAGTTATGTGGAGGAACAGAAGGTATAAAGGAAGAGGAGGCCATTCTATCACAAGTGGAGACTAGTGCAGGGACAAAGAGAAAAACAGAGTTTACAGGCTGCAGGATAGATGAGAAGGCCCCTAGCCAAAGCATCAAGGCTAGTTTCTACACTGGGCAGCCCAGCCCAGGAGACAGCTTTAGGATAGGCCCTTCACTTGACTCCCATGCACACGACTCCAGCGATTTCTCACAAGCGAAGGAGCTAAGGTACAGCACATGAGCACCCTTCAACGTGCTGTGAGTACTGCTGCATTCCTGTGCAAGGATGCAGAATGGGTGCAGAATGTTTGCAAGGTTAATGAAATGAATTATTGTAGATATCTAAAATGACGGTGAACTCTGCTTTCTCCTTTAAAATGATCCATCTGCTTATCGAGGCAATGTTTTCTAAGTTAATTAAGTATGGAGCAGAAAGTCTTCCAAGCAGACACTTTTAATTAATTCTTAATTATGAATGCCCACATACGTCCTCCAAGTAGGCAAAAATGTATGGTGTAAGGAGATAAACGGGGGGTGGGGGGGGGAAGGCACAGAGAAGGAAGAACACAACACTCCTGTTTTTGATGCTTTTTAGTTCGACTTATCAGATGTCAAAACGGCTTCAAAAAACACCTACCTTGAGGATGGTTTGGAAAACAGTGAGAACATACACAAATCGTAACACACTCCTTACTTAATTTGTTCCTCTTCATTCTTATATGTTGCTAAGAGACTGTCTTTTCAAGGCTCGAATACACAGATTTTTCCCAATTTAGAAATCAGGAGGACTTGCATAAAACTTCACAAAGGCAGCCAGTTAGAGGTAGACATTTATTTGGTAATGATCAACCCACATTTCTCCAAACAACTTCCTGAAACATATTATTGAATGCTTGGGTGACGCATGCAAATTTAGTGTCTCTAGTTAATCCATCTGCTTTGTTAGTGTGCACACACTGAAGTTTGGGATGACCCTTCCCTCCTTACTGAAGGGGAACCAGGACAGTCGCTCTCCCACTGAAAGAGAAACAGCCTTCGACTGGAGGCCACTGAAAGACGATGAGCACGTCATGATTGCTGGTGAGTTGTCAAGGATACTGATCACCGCCATCAGGGGTAAACTGATAAAAGATCAAAGATTGGTATGGGGAACCGAGAATCGGTATAGGAGTATATTGGAACAGTCGTAGAGATTATAACAGTATATTCTTATTCTGTAATTTAGAAATTATGGCATACAGTATAGCATGCTATTAAACTGGTACATTAGAGGATAATGATATTATGAAAGACCATTTTTCCCTTAGCATTCTCGAGTGCACTTTGGTATTTGTTTTGTAGTTTATTAACCATCTGAGAGCCTGAGAAAAGAAACAAAACGGCAATATATACCTGGGACAACTGAAGATAAAAATAAAAAAAGCAAACCTTCAGCATAACTGAAATTAGAATGTAAATCAATGGGGGAATGGCTGAATTCACAAAAAGTTGACGAACAAACCTCTTTCTCTTTAGAAAGGACTCATTTGAACACTTTCAAATGTCCAAATATAGGGCCAGCCTGTGGAATGGTGGTTAAGGTAGCACGGCCAACTGTGCAGTTTGAGTCCTGATTCGGTAGCTTAAGAACATGTCAGGAGCACGTGCATGAGGGAGGGAGAAATGGGGGAGAAGGGGTTGAAACATGATGATGCCCCATGGGAGACACTCACTTTTTCTCTCTGGCAAAAAACAAACAAACAAACAAAAATTAAATTGAATTGAATTAAAATCCAAGTATATAGTCACTAGAAGAGTTTGGCTTTGTTTTGTTTTACTAGAGAGCACATGTGCTCACCAGAGAAACACAGAAAGAGAGAAGAAAGCGCCCCCAGTGGGGATGGTCATACTGCCTCACACTACATCTCATCTCCTCCATCTCCCTCTATATGGGTTTTTGGGTAGACACGTGCCTGGTGTGTTTCTCAAGCTGCTAGGTCTGGGACTTGAACTAGAAGGTTGGCCAGGTAAGATCTGCTACCCCAATTGGCAAGTCACAGGGTGACCCAGAAGAGCTTCTTCATAAACTAACACTAAAGAATCATAGCGACAGGTCAACTTTGCTGAGACAAATTAACGGCTTTTATTTGCATATAAAGAAACATAACTAGAGCTGCCCTGTAGCCTAGTGATTAACCTGGATCCCACCTAGCTGACCTCAGTTCAAATCCTGACTCCAGTGGCTCGAAAAGCACTCCTGACATCTCTGCATGCATGCCCAAAATCTGGACAGGATGAAGCAACGGAGAAGGGAGTGCAGCATGACCATGCCTCGTTGAAGGGTGCTGTCTCCCCCTCCCTCCCTCTCACTCTGTCTGTCTCTGGCGAGTGCATGTGCCCTCTCTCAGAAAGAAAGGAAGGACGAACTAAACAAACAAACATAACTGGATTCAATTATAAAGAAGACAAAGTCTAAAGAGTTTCAATCTTCGTTGGATTTGTATGAGAGCCTGACCTCATACATTTTAAAAAGCATTATAACCGCTTTGGAGAAGAGGACTAAAAAGATCTGAGTTTGCAATGAACTGTTCATGTCTACTCAAAATTCGTGTTAAAATCCTAACCCCCATATGATGTTTCTGGAAGGTGGGACCTTTGAGAAGTGATTAGGTCACAGGAGTGGGGCCCTCATGGCTGGAATTAGTGCTCTTTTAAAACAGTCTCCAGGGAGCTCTCACGCCCTCTTTCTACCACATAAGGGTATGTTAGAGTCAGCACGGAGAGAAATGGTGATGCCAGAGACAGTGTGGGAGGAGGGTGGGAAATGGGGGAGAACGAGAGGGAGGGAATCAATGGGAAAAAGAAAGAAGCCAAACATTTTATGGAACAAAAATGGAAACTTGTCTGATGATAACGTCCATGGTAATATCTTTGACTGATGGGAAAATTCATTTGATAGGTTGTAACGATACATAGTGACTGATGGTAAGAAAGGAAAGAAGGACAAGGAGAAGAAGAGGAGAGAAGAAAACAGTTGGGATTTGTAACTTGGAAGAGGTCCCTCACCAAAACGCAGGCATGTTGTCTCAGTCATCTCAGACTGCCTGCCTCTAAGACCATGAGAAGTAAAATCCTGTTGTTTATAAGCATCCAGTGTGTGGTATTTTGTTATAGAACTCAAATGGACTAACCCAGAGCTACGGTCTCAATTCTGCTTCTCGGGCTCGTTCATTTCATTTCCCTGAATACTATTTTCTCATCTGGGTAAGAGAGGAAAGAAGTGTGTGGCAAGGGCTGGGGTGGGCACTGACGTTTCCTGAGCACCTCCTACATGGCCAGCGTTGTCCTTACATCTAACCCAATCCTCACGCCAGTTCCTGATTTTATAAAAAGGGAACTGAGGACGGGGAGGAAACTACCCAGCATCACGGGGGAGGTAGCACAAACAGGGTTTCAGCCTAGTCTCTCTGGTTTCAAAGCATTACCGCTTGATGGCCATGATGACTCGCATATTCTACTTCCAGAGTCTGAGGATAAATGTGAGCATCCCCTCCTCAATGCTCGCACATATGTCTGACCCCATATACTGTGATGTAACATCCAAGTCACATCTCAGAGAGCGCCCTCTCCAGCAAACTCTCCCCGCCCCCACAACCTAAACCCAGACAAGCTTTTAGAACAGAGAACTGGAGGCTCAAAAAAAAAGTCAGAGTCATCCACCTTTATTTCCATGTAACCTGATATATTTTTGTGAGATACAGTTTGCTCAGGGAGCAGAGCAGATATTCCAGTCCTGCGAGTCTGGTACCTTCTCACAGAGGAGCAGAGGAGTGCGTGCTGCTGCACAATGAACGTCAGTATTCCTGATTCCATATGTCCCCAGTGGGCACCAGCCAAATCTCCAAGTCATTGCTTCCACACCCATAGGAGGTAAGTTTACATTTATAATGAAGGAATGACAGTGATCAGCAAGAACATGCTATTAGTGCTCGTATTTCTATTTTTAAATTTCTCGAATGAGAGGAAAAGACTGAGCATCGTTAATAATGGAACTTGCCGTCTAGTTTCATATAGTGCTTGCTGCTTCACAGATGAAATCTGAAGCCAAACAAGGCACCCTGGCAGTTTGTGCCTTCAGGCAACAGAGGCCCTTTGGGTGAAATGAAATTTTTCTGCTGATGGGAACTGCCAGTAGTACTTGCTCTAAAATGATACACATCTTTATAGGCACTGCCTCTACACAAGTGCGACCTCACATACGCTTCCTGTTAGGCCTACCGAGCTGAATTAAAAGAGCAGGGCTGTTCTCCCAGCGAGACTTGTTCTTAACATTCGTAACGGGTGAATAAAATCCTCCTTATACATGATAGCCGATTAATGACAATTAACATGCTTTAAGGTGCCATGATCAGAAGCCCCTGACAGGCAGGTTTATGTAAAAAGAGCCTCGGCTCCAGGCGTCCCTGGGGCTCTCCAAGGCCACTTGCCCTTGAAGCTTTAGGAGGTCAGTGCAAGGATTTGGTTCCAAATTTAGGCAAGAAGGACACGTTCTAAATGCTGCTAATTCTGATATAAACTTCCAAGATTAGAATAAAATGGAGTAATAATATTTAAAAGTCCGAGAAATAATCTAACTGTAACGTGCTTTACTGAAGGTGTTCCTCTAAAATCAGTTTGAAGACATGACTGACGAATAAAGGAAATTCTTTAAAGTAAGCTTTTCAAAAACTATTAGGATTTTTAAAAGGTGTTTGCAAAGCAGAGATCTTTTGGCACAGTGCATGACTGCCTAGCACTAGAACACTTTCCAGACAAAGCTCACCACCCCATAATCACTCTCCACTCTCTGGAGCGCAAGCTAGCAATTATCAAAGCTCTAATGGATACCCACCTCCACCTCTGGTGGTGGCCTACCTGGGTTCAGAAATCCGAATCTTCCCCTTGTCAGCTGAGGTCTTGGACAAGCCGTGTAAGCTCTAAGAGCTAGTTCTTCATTTACATGTAATAATCCTGACATGGGGTTACTGTGAGGATTAACTAAGATACACATGTACAACCCTCCCTTCACCCAATGCCTGGCACATAAGAAGGGCTCAGTAATGGGTGCGGGCTCTCATTACGGTAGTAATTATCATTGCTACCAGGAATGATGGTGGAAATGGAACTAGTGAGGTTCCACTGTAGATGGAGGACCCAGCCATGTCCTGAGTCACCCAGCCACAGTGTAGAGGCAATCACGTAGACCTATGGCTGATTAAACATCTTCCTATCAAGTGGGTTGAACTAAATATTCCACCACTGACCACTGCTTTCTTTTTTTTTTTTTTTTAATCGATAGAGAGCATATGTGTGTGCATGAAAGAGAGAGGGCAGGCACTTCAGACAGGGTTCTGTCACACCATGATCCTAGTCCTCCAGTTCCTCAGGATGTTGGATGCCCCAGGTGTTTTCAGGCCAACCCAGGGATCCAAACCCGTGGCTGTCCATGTGACTTCCACCATGCAGTCCAGTATACCATGGACTACCGTACCTAGTCTGGGCCTGACTATTGCTTTTTTTTTTTTTAATGAAATATGTAGGTAGCAACCGAATTGCTGGGTTTGGGGATGCAATCATAATGCCCGTCACAGACGGCCCACTTTATAAGGTGAATCTAAGCCTGCTGGATGACATATGGACAGATCAGGTAACACACAAGCTCCCAAGTTCTTCTCATTTGAAGTAGCCCGGGTACCTCATTTCTTCTGAGATGCCTCCATCAATAACAAGTCTGAATGACTCTTGAAATGCTTTAGGATGAAAACAGCTGTTGAAGGGGTGGACACATGTCAGTGGTAAAAACTCTAAAAGGAGAACACAGAGCTTAGCTAAAAACAAAGCAACAGGAAGTCAGGCACATGCATGATCCTGAAATACCCTGAATAGTATCATAAGACTTCTACCCTGGAAAGAGTTGCAACCTCCTTATCTTAATGCTTTTGTGATATCTGACAGAAGGGGCGGGAAAATAACTGTGAATAAGATGAATTCTGATTAAGTAACGACTAGGTTAGTGATGGTGTCACTTAACCACCAAAGATAAGAACCTGGTCTATAATCTAGATTCAGTTGGATAGAAAATGACCAAGAGTACTGCCCCACCCCCCATCATTCCAATGGCAGAATAAAATGAGGCAAAAATAATCCACTTCACTTAAGATTTGCAGACTTACTGTCTACCACATAACCAGCATTGTGTCTGGTTGTCATTATGGGTATGAGTGAGTGCATGTGTGTGTGTGTGGGGGGGTGTGTGTGCGCGCATGTGTGTGTGTCTAAAGAAATTGAACACTTTCAAAAATATGACTCAGTCAATAGGTTTTATATGAATATTTAGTCAGAATAGAATATCAAGCAAGTCATCAGTTTCCAGAAAAGAACTAAGAAATATAAGGACAACTCTAAACTGTGGTAACACTGACATGTTTACAGGCAACCTGATTGGTTTCAGAAAGGAAACCAACTTATTTCTTTTGGAGGCATCTACAATAAGCAATCTTAGCAGATGAAACCTTATACCATAAAAAGAACAGGGTATAGAAATATAAACTTGAACTGGTTAAAACTGTTCATACTACCACCACTTCAATGGACTCATGTACACTGTCGGTATTTTTTTTTGGAGAGGTTTTTTTGCCATAGGGTGCGTGCACTCGCCAGACAGACAGAGAGAGACACAGAGAGACAGAAAGCGAGAAATCACCCCCCAGGGGGGATGGCTACGCTGCAATCCCTTCTCCTCCATTCTCCTCTTGGGATCTTGGGCACGCACGCACACGCGCCCGGCATGAGTTTTAAGCCACCAGGTCTGGGACGCAAACCGTGGTTGACTACATGGGAGTCCAGCGACATAGCCATTATGCTAACTGCTGGTCCCCACTGTCGGTATTTCTCGTGTGGAACTGATAAAAAAAAAAAATCTTCAAAAAGGCCACACTACATTCGGCATTAAAAGGAATTGATCCCATATACAAAAAGGTCCACACACAGAACTTCGTGGGCCCTAAGAAAGAAAAATACTCACCAGAAGACAGAATTGTGCATGCTTTATCATGAGATATGGGCAAAGGGATTGCTGATGATGCCAAGCAGTGAAAGGAACTGCAGGAGAAAGCCACGGAGGTTGGTGTGACCTCTTCAGGAGTCACCCAAGACCATCACCATGAGCTTCCTGTCACAGCTCAGTCTGCAATGTCACTTGTTCTTTACTAGTATATAAAATAGTCTGTCTAAAATGGATGGCATTGCAGTATATAAAATATTAATGCCTTAGAAACATCAATGCAAACCTATGAACTTCACAAAGATTTGTTTCTAGTTCTGACCCAGACGTAGGGCAGCAGCTGCCTAGCCTTTCCAATGCCAGCCCCATCTGTGGGCCCTCCTGAGAAGCAGGGTGAGTGGTGAAGGGGCTTCTGAGCCAGGCTGCCCTGGTTCAAACTCAGGCTCTGCCACACACGCTAGCTGTGGGACCTTGGACAAGTGACTTCTCTCTTCTGGGCTTCCGATTCCTCATTTATAAAACAAGGATAACAGTTCCCATCTCACAGAGTTGTTGTAATAGTTAAACGAGTATCTGAGAGGAGCTTAGAACTGCTCCTGGCACATGGTATGCATCACATAAAGTACTTGTTAAAGAAAATCAGCGCCCAGACTTTGGCATCAGACTGTTCTCCAAAGAGAGAAACCAGCGTTTCTCAAAGAAATGACATATCTTAGGGCAGAGAAGATTAAGAATGGACAAGGGCCTACCTGAGACTAGCAGGAAGGTAGGGAGAGAATGCTCATGGAGGCCAGGGGAAGTGCTGAAAAGACAAATCACTATCCAAGATGAGACTTCATGGGCGTCAACGATAGCAAAGCATCTGAATGGGAAAGGCATGATGTCATAAGAATATCCACATGAGAAAAGTTAATATAAAGTAGACAATGAGGTGTCATGATGCAAAAGAAGGGAGAGGCGGATCTGCTTCATTTTTAATTTTAATAAATATAAGAGTGCTAGCTGTTTTGTTTCTTCAATGAAATATTTATCTGCTTAAGTAGAGAAGAGTAATTGCAGGAAACTCACCAATACAAGTTCTAGCAAAGGGAGAGAGTGTACCACCATTAACAGGAAGGTCTTAACATAATAAACAGAGGAAAGAAAATTGAATGGTGTGTCAAGATGATGAATTAGCTAAATGTTCTGAGAGGTGCATTAACTGCAGACTTCATCCCTCATATCCTAGAGCTGATACCCTTAGATGGCCCTACTAATTGGAGTGAGATGGTAATAAACTTCCAATGATGCAAAAAACCAGGCAGACATTAGGGTGATGGGGTAATGGCCTATGAAATGCCAACTGGGCAAAACTTAGAAAATAAAACATTCTGAGAGAAGCACCATACTACAAAAGAGACCCGATGTGAAGCATGATTCCAAAATCTTCCTAATGTACTGAGTAGTAGGAAATGGCATGAAGTGTTTTTTCTGTTTTTCTATGCAAAAATCCATCATGACTTTTCCAATGACCCAGTAACACTGAGGGCAAATATAAAATGGGGCCCTGCGAAGTGACAGTGGCTTGGATGTGATGAACTTAGGCATGACCAAAAATCAATCAGCTGATAACTACATCCTGCCATTTCAGCTGGCCAGACTATTTTTCTGGTTCTGATCGTATGTCTATAATTGTCGAAAAATACTATTATATTATTGTAACCGTAAGAGAGTCTCAAAATGGATATTGCTCTATGAGTCATGAGTTATCAAAATCTATGCTGCTACAAACCTAGGAATGTGGACAGATTTAAGAACATATGAACCACCATGGTGTTGGTATTTTAGAGCAAGCTTAAGTGCTAGGTGCTTCATGATCACTGGAGTTCTGTGCGCCTCATCCAGCAGAGTGTTAAAAAGTATCATTATTAGGCCAGTAAGTGGCATGGTGCTTAAGGCACTGGACTCCAACATGGTTGACCTCTGTATGAGTCCCAGACCCAGCAGCTTGAAAATCACGCCAGGTGCGTATGAGTGTGTGCCCAAAATTCCAGGAGGAGAATGGAGGAGAAAGGATTGTGGCATGGCCATCTCCTGGGGTAGGGTGTGTGTGGGGGTGATTTCTCACTTTCCATCTCTCTGTTTCCCTCTGGCAAATGTATATATCCTCTGGAAAAAAAAAAAAAAAAGAATAGCACCCCCACAGGGTTCCTATGAGCCTGGAAGACTAGAGGGAGAACTGGAATGGAAAGACCCTGTTCAGGTTAACGCTCCTTTCCTCCCTTTAAGAGAGAGAGAGAGAGAGAGAGAGAGAGAGGGAGGGAGGGAGGGAGGGAGAATGAATGAATCATTACTGTAGTTTAAATTGTTAAAAGATTTAAGTCTTTAATCCATGTTCAAATAGAGTTAGGTGTTTAAATAATTGATTTTCAAAGTTTGGTTTACAAATTGAATCATTTGAGCACTAAAGTCCAAATAGTAGCAGATGTTCTTCATGAACAAAAGCCCTCTGGACATTAAAGAATACATAAAGTAGGTCACCAACAGAATATCCAGAAGATGTAAACAGTATCTCTCCACAGGAAAGACTGTGGAGGCATACAGTGTTCCATTCTTCCATCACAATAACCCCACGGGAAACAAAAGATAAAGGCAACAGAGAAGGTGTGAGAAAGAAATGCAACACGGTTGGTTAGAGTCCTTCCTCCAGAGTTTCTCTATTAGAAGTAGGACATGGGGTAATGGGAAATGAATCGCAACAGACCCTGGCTTCTGTTGGTTGCAGGAATGGCTTTTTTTTTAATAACATCCTTGCTTCGGTTTTAAAATAAAGTGAATCCGAAATAGTTAAGAATGCTAATATGTCTAGAGCAATGAAATAAAATGGTGAGGATTTAGATGTAGAGGGGGTTAAAAGTGGAGGGAGCTGACAAATGCTCCTAAGGTTCCACTGGCCATTTCTCCTTGAAGGGGCTTAAATCAAAACATCACTTCTATAGCCCCGGGTCTGTTCATCCCTGGCAACTACCCTCCTATGAAATTAAAATTTTTTTTTCTTCTTTCGAAAGGTTGGATCTTACTCTTCATTGGATCTTTGCATTCCCCCTAAGACATGCAGCCTGGATGCTCACTAACAGCACCCAGGAAAGGAAGAGGATGGCATCTCTGAGTGTTGACACTAGCCAGGCACTAATGTGGGGGAAATTCCCATCATCCTCTCATTTTACAGATGAAGAAACTAGAGTTCTGAGGAAAGGAGCGGATTGCCCAAGGTCATCAGAGCAACTCAGTGTCCAGACTTGTGTCCAGGCTGCTGCGGAAGCCACACGCTCCTCTGTCATCCACTGCTGCCTTGCGTCCTCTGTCCCACTCTTCACACGGGGACTGTCTGTCAGTGGGTCTTTCTCAGCTCAATGGACAAATCAGCAACCTAGACTCTGAAACTGAGTGCCTAAAAAAGGCAGCATAAGTAATTTCTAGCTAAGTCTCCTTTGTTTATCCGACAAGTACTTCTCACATAAGGAACCATGTCATCCCAGCATGGATCTCAACAGCTATGTGGCGTGGAGAATTTGAATGTGTCCTGTACCAGAAAGAGGCATGAGTGCCCTTCTAAGCTTTCAATCAGCCTGACATATGTGATGAGCTCTCCGTATCAGCTTGCCCTTCAGCTTCAGGTCTGGAAAAGGTGCTTAGCTATACCCATCCAGGTCCTGGAGGCTGAAAGAAAGAGTACCAACCCCTCCCCCTTCACGAGTGTCCTCCTAATAGTCTCTACATTTAATCAGGACAGAGAGCAAGGACTTTAAAGCCAGCCTCTGAAGCTATCAGGGCAACATTGATTAAGATCATTTGTAAAAGCTTAAGGCAGAAAAGAAATTAAGATTCCATTTATTTTAATGCACTAGAAAAAGAAGCATTGGGGACAAGTAGAGGACAATCTGCTTATTGTCATGCTAAGATCACAAGCATGCATATGTAACAGGTCATCAGGAATTGAGTTCTGCCTATTTTTCCTTCTTTTTAAAGAAATTTTTGACTTAGGGCACATGCACTTATGGGGAGGGTGGGGGAAAGACACAGTGAGGGAAAGTGAGAAATTACACACACACACACACACACACACACACTGGAGGGATAGAAACACTGCAATCTCTTCTCCTCCCTTCTCCTCCTGGGAATTCAGGCACGCACACGTGCCTGGTGTGATTTTCAAGCCATTGGGTTTGGGACTTGAACCAGCAGTCAGCCATGTGCGAGTTCAGCGATGTAAGCACTACACCACTTGCTGGTCATTTTTTATCTCATTAAAAAAAGACAGTCTGAAGAGGTAAGAAAAGCATAACCAAAGTTAATCACTCTCTCCACTGTGAATATAGGCAGGTGGATAGAAACAACTGGAGATGCCACATACAGCTGGGCAGGACATCCACTGTACAAATATGCTGGCTAAGGGGCTGAGGGGTGGCTGCATCACCGCAGTTCTGGGAGAACTGGAGATGAAAGCCATGCTGGGAGGAAAAATGTCATCTAGAAGATGCTAATCGTCTGAAGATCTAGTCCAGTGACCAAAACAGGACAAAAGGGAAAGGCGTGGATATATTCACACAAGACTGTCTCTCTCACTGCTAAATGCTCAATAACAAATGCCTGGGACATGGTAATTGCTCAATAAGATTTTATTGAATGCATCTTGTATAGTTTGAAGTAGCAATATAATTTTATTTTTCCCCATGTGGACATAATGTGTCCCAGTATCATTTATGGGCTGTTCTAATATATGTGCCATCACCTGCGTCATATACCATTTACCTTTGAGTACAGGCTGGTATGCTTTTCATTCTATTTCACGGGTCACATTCTATATACTCTCCACATTGCTCATCTTTTTCTTTTAAAAACACATGTTTTCCCCATATTCTTGTATTTTGTGCTGAATTCTATCATTTTGAAAGCTCAATTCTTTTAATAAAGTCTAGTTCCAGCTATTTTTTTTTTCTTTTTGGTCTTCATCTTCACTATTTTGCTGAAACAGCTTACAACAATTTACTAGTTATTTCATTACATGTATCTTCATATCTGATCTACTGTTTATCACCAAAGTTTTAAATTTCAACCTTTTAGAGTCCTGTTTTATTCTTTTCTAAATCTGCCTATTTGCCTTTGGAATTCTTTTGTTTTTATTTTTAGTAATTTCATATTTTACACAAAGTCCCCATCATGATGTCCATTATATATTTTTTTCAACAGACAACTTTACATTTTTCTACCTGCCAAATGTTCTCTCCCCTTTCACCACACACCCACCCTTCACCATCCACTCTCTACCATTTACCTTCCCCCCTTACAGTCTCTAGTATCCACACCCATCCTTTCAGCACATCTTCAGATCTCTCAATCTCTGCCATAGACTGCAGACAGTTCAAATTGAGTGGAGATATACAATGTTTATCTTTCAAAGTCTAGCTCACTTCACTCAGCACAAGTCTTCTATATTCATCACTTTGAATCAAACAATAGGATCTCATTGTTTCTTATACCTATGTAATATTCCATATTAAATATGTGCTACAGTTTTTCAACCCAGTCATTAGTTTTTGGATGCTTAGGTTGGTTCCATGTTTTAGTGACTGTGAATACTACTGCAATAAACATGGATGTGCAAGTGTCTTTCTGTTTCCATATACTTTGAGTAAATACTAAGAAGAAGCATAACTGGGTCATACAATGGTACTATTTGTAGGTTTTTGAGGAGCATCCATATTGTTCTCCACAGAGGCTGTGCTAATTTATATTCCCATCGACAGTGTTCCTTTTCACCACAGCCTCTCCAGCACATTGAAAAAACAAAACAAAAACAAAAAAAACCCTAGTCATTCTAAACAGCTAAACAATATCTTATTGGAGTTTTAATTTGCATTTCCCTCATGACAGAAACTTTGAACATTTTTTCACATGTCTTCTGACCATTCCTAAGTCTTCTTTGGAAAACTGTCTATTCAATTAATTTGCCCATTTTTTCATTGGGTTATTCTTTTTTTTATTTTTTTTATTTTTATTTTTTATGGGTGAGCTGCTTGAGTTCCCTTATATACTCTGGATATCAATCCCTTTTCTGAGGAATAATTTGCAAATATTTTCTCCCATCCTATTCCGAGGGCTGTCTTTTCACTCTAATTACTGTTTCCCTTGCTATGAGGCAGCTTTTTAGCTTGATGTAATCCCACTTGTCCATTTTGGGGCTTGCTGCCTGTGCTTTAGGAGTTTTAAGAAATCTTGGTCTATTCCAACATGTTCAAAAGTTGCCTGTATGTTTTCTACTAGTGGTTTTGTAGTTTGAGGCTTTATATTTAAATCTATTTTGAGTGGATTCTTGTTAAGGGTGAAAGATAGGGGCCAGTTTCATTTTCTCTGCAGGTGAATTTCCAGTTCTGCCAGAATCATTTGCTGTAAAGACTTTTTCTTCACTGCACTGTCTTGTGCCCTTTGTCAAAGATCAGTTGGTTATATGACTTGGGGTTTATTTCTGGATTCTCTATTGTATCCTATTGATCTATTTTTGTGCTAGTACCATGTTGTTTTGATCATCATTGCTTTGTAATATATTTTGAAGTCAGGTAGTTAGATGCCTCCTATTTTATTCTTTTGTTTTGTTTTGTTTTTGTTTTTGTTTTGAGAGGTTTTTCGCTGTAGGGGGCGTACGCTCGCCAGACAGACAGAGAGAGACATAGAGACAGAAAGCAAGAAATCCCCCCCCCGGGGGGGATGGTCACGCCGCAATCCCTTCTCCTCCATTCTCCTCTTGGGATCTTGGGCATGCACGCACACGCGTCCGGCTTGAGTTTTAAGCCACCAGGTCTGGGACACGAACCGCGGTCGACTATGTGGGAGTCCAGCGACATAGCCATTACGCTAACTACTGGTCCCCCTATTTTATTCTTTTAGCCTTGGTGATACAGGGTCTTTTATGATTCCAGACAAATTTTATAATTGTTTTCTCTTTTTCTGTGAGGAGTATCACATGAGGATAAGAATCACATTGAATACATAAATTAACTTGGGTAGAACTGACACTGACATTTTCATGATATCAATTCTTCTAATTGGAGGATAAGGATGTCCTTCCATTTTTTTGCATCATACTCTTTTTTTTTTTTTCAGTTTTTCATAATTTTCCTTGTAGAGGCCTTTCACCTCTTTGGTTAGGCTTATGCTTAGGTATCTTATTCATTTTGTGGCCATTGTAAATGGGATTGCTTTTTTCAACTTCGTCTATTGTCAGTGTAGAAAATGCTATAGATTTTTTAAAGAATTATTTTATTTCATTTATTATCATCATTCGTATTTGTTTAACTTGACCGGCGGGGGGGGGGGGGGAGAGGAGAGGAGAGGAGAGGAGAGGAGAGGAGAGGAGAGGAAAGTAGGCAAGCAAGCCTACAGGTCCAGGACTCAAATCACCATTGGCCATTTGAGAGTCCAGTGCCTTAACCACCACGCCACCTGCTGGCCCTGAAGCTATAGATTTTTGTATATTGACTTCATATCCTGCTACTCTACTGAATTCATTGATCACTTTTAGGAGATTTTTCATGGATTCCATTGGATTTTCTATGTACATAAACATATCACCTGCAAGAAGGGACAGCTTAGTTTCTTCTTTTCCTATTTGACTGCCTTTTACTTTACTCTCTTATCTGGGTGCAGTGGCCAGCACTTCCAGAAATATGTTGAAAAGGAGTGGAGAAAGTGAGCAGCCTTGTCTTGTTCCAGTTTTTAGTGAGAGGCTTTCAGCTTTTCCCCATTCAGTATGAAGTTCACAATGGGTCTGTCATAGATGACTTTCATTGTGTTGAGAAATGTCTCTTCTACCCCTATTTTGCTTAAAGTCTTGACCATGAAGAGATGTTGTATTTTTGTCAAATGCTTTTTCTACAGCTATAGCTATGATTTGTATTTTCCTTTCTGCTAATGTGATGTATTACATTTATTGTTTTGCTAATGTTGAACCATCCTGGCAACCCTGGGATGAAGCCTTCCTGATTGTGGAGTATAATCTTAATATGCTGTTGGATTTGGTTTGCCAGGATGTTGTTGAAGACATTTATATCAGTATTTATCAGGAATACTGGTCTAAAGTTTTCTTTTGTTATGTCGTTGTCTGATTTGGGTATCAAGGTAATAGAGGCTTCATAGAATGAGTTTGTAAGAATTCCTTCCTTTTGACTCTAGAAATAGCTGGAGAAGAATTGCAGTTAGCTCTTCTTTAAACGTTTTGTAGAATTCAGGGGTGAAGTCATCTGGACTTGGGCTTTTCTTCATTGGGAGACTATCACTGATTCAATTTCACCACTTGCTATTGGTCTATTCAGGCTTTCTCTTTCATCCTGATTCAGCGAGGCAACTTGTACATGTCCAGAAACTTGCCCTTCTTGTGTAGGTTTTCTAGTGTGTTGACATATAATCAGTCACTTGTAGTATTCTCTCATTGTGTTTTGTATTTCTGATATATCAGCTGTAATAGTATCAGCGTCATTACTGATTTTATCTAGCTGGTTCCTTTCTCTGTTTTTCTTGATTAGTCTAGCTACTGGTTTATCAATTTTGCTTATCCTCTAAAAAAACAGTTTTTCACTTCATTTTTTAAATAGGTTTTTATTCTCTACTTCATATATTTAAGCGCTATCTTTACTATTTCTTTTATTTTTGAGGTGTTTTGGTTATTGCTCTTGCGGTTCCTTAAGATGTGATGTTGTTTTTTATTTGCTACCTTTTTCATTTACCCTACGGTTCAGGAATGGCCTCTTCAAAGAAGGGCTATGTGAGTTGAAATCTAGGCTAAGCAGGAGATAGCCAGGGGAGAGTGGGGGAAAGCCGTCCTCCACAGATTAGCCAGAGTACAACTGGCCTAGAGGAGAAGGAGCAGGACAGGTTGGAGGAGATGTGAAAGGACGAGTGTGGCTGAAGCACAGGGAGGAGGGACTGGACCATGCGAGGCAGAGTGGGCCACATTATACAACCGCCCTATAGAATGAGTTTGTAAGAATTCC